ACTCGGCTCCCGGCAGCGTCGCCGTCATGGGGAAGGACTATTACAGGATTTTGGGCATCCAGGCTGGTGCCAACGAGGATGAAATCAAGAAAGCCTATCGGAAAATGGCCCTGAAGTATCACCCCGATAAGAATAAAGACCCCAACGCCGAGGAGAAGTTCAAGGAGATTGCGGAGGCTTACGATGTCCTGAGTGACCCCAAGAAACGAGCTGTTTATGACCAGTACGGGGAGGAAGGTAAGTCCCCTTACCTTCCAGGCACTGCCAGCTCGGAGGCAGGGGTGTGGGGTCCAAATCAGTTTTTATAGGCAAGGAAACATTTTAACATAGAGGTGTTCCTGTGGTTCATGCCTGCCCCTGAAACAGGGCCAGTAGCCACAGAACTGGGGAAAGTAAAGGCTCCACAGGTGCCAGCAATCACCCCTCGCCCTGCTCCTCCCCAGGGTGCTCCGCTTTTTCAACCTGCCACCTTGCTTCCCAGGATGGCCAGGCTGTCCCTGCCCTCCACCCCAAACCCCAGCAGCTGGCTGAGAAAATGGAAGTGGAAGGAGCTCACTTCCAGGGTCATACGTGGGGTAATTCGTTAGCAACCCTTTAATCGAGCTAAATACCCCAGCAGAGAAGTACTGCTTTTGCCCACATTCCCTCCGCGTTTGGGCACTGGTCCTGCTGTCCTCCCCGGTACAGGCTGACCTACAGGATTCAAAGCTTTTCCCAATTTAAGTCATAGGTCTTTGTTTTGAAACCAAGGGGCTGCTGTTGTCTGGTGGTTGGCACGGAGGAGGAGGAGGAGGAGGAGGAGGAGGAGAGCCGCTCCACCGCAGGCGGCCTTATTAGTCGAAGATGGAAGAGCGCAACCCCATTCGAGGAGAGCAGCCGAATAGCATCTGCATTAATCAGCCCAGGACTTGGGTGCTTAAAAGATCAGGAGGTCTGGCAGGAACAGGCTGTTGGGTAGAAGAGGGACCATCATGCAGGTGCATCCCCTAATGAACCACCAGCAGAATTAACCAGTGATGGGTTAATTCTCGATCCCTCAGTTCTGTCAGGTCTATGATGGATGCACCAGGCAGGGTGATTTGCCACTCTGTAAAATGAGAAGAGACTGTCTCCAGTGGGAAACCAGCCTTTCCCCAGAGACACCGCCGAAATTGGACCCAGCTTGGGCTGGCGTCACGGGATTAAAGGTGAAACCTTCTGGCTGTAGAACCTATTAGGGAGGGGGACTCGCCGTCGCCTGAAGGCACCTAAAATAAGAGCGAGTTAAGGAGGGAGGGCAGAGCATCCCCTTCCTTGCCCCATCAGCATCAGACCAGTTGTGCTCCATGGCCCCCCACACTTTTCGTTTCCCATCAGATGCTGTTTTTTGGAGCAACATGTTTTAGGGACTGGTGTTTTGAGGGACTTCTGGGTCCTACATGCTGTGGTGGGCAAGGTGAAGTGAAAGCCCTCCCCACCCACCCGGAATATTAACTTCATCAGTCAGAAAAGACACCCAAACTTGCCCACTCTGTGCTTGCCCCCCTCCTATCTCTGGACACGGGGCGGGGGGGCTGGCACGAGGGACAGCCTGTCAGAAATAGCCCATCACTGTCACTGGAGTGGCCTGAAAATAGTCCTTGAGCTAGGCTTGGCTTAACCCTTCCCACCCCTCCTGATCCAAAATAACCTCCAGAGCATCTCTGACTGGTCTGGGGGCGAGTGTCTTGCCATGTACCTTGGCCACTTGGGACTTTGGGGGAGTTAGAGTGACCTAAGGCTCAGCCTGGGACCTGACAGGAGAGTTTCCCATGGGAATGGTTGCCAAAAGGTCCAAACCTTGTGCTTACCTGGTATTTCGTGCAGTATGTATGTGGGGAGCTGTGTGCTGACCTGAAGGTTTGCTGACCTCCACCTGCTCTGCCACCCAGGGTCACAGTCACTTGCTGAGCCCAAAGCTTGTTCTTACCTGCTGGGCCTGATGCTCCTGGACCATGACCGTCCATGCAGCCCAAGAAACAGGGCTATTTGGGCAGAAGGGACCTTGCCCACAGGGAAAAATTGAGATGGGCTGGTCAGGAGATGTTTTAAATGAAAAGGCCATGAATTGGGTGGAGAGAACCAAAGAAGCACTTCAGTCTGGGTAGCAGAGTCAAAGCCTGAGCCAATTTTGAGCTTGCTTGGGTGTAGGAGCAGGACTGCGTGCTCTGGGTTGAGGGTTAGGTGGCTGGGCTGGAGGGGGTGACCTGCACCCCCAGGAGATGCTGGAGGGGCTGCCTGGAGCTGGCAGAGACCACGCTCCCACCTGGGAATTGCGGTCCAAGCACAGTGTCTGCCGGCAAGGAGCATTCATGTCTCATCTTCCCCCTTCTCTTCCAGGTCTCAAAACCGGAGGGGGCTCTTCAGGTGGCTCAGGGAACACTTTCCACTACACCTTCCATGGAGACCCCCACGCCACCTTCGCGTCCTTCTTCGGAGGCTCCAACCCTTTCGACATCTTCTTCGCTAGCAGCCGCTCCCGGATGTTCAACGGCTTTGACCAGGAAGACATGGATATCGATGATGATGATGATCCTTTCAGTGCCTTCGGCCGGTTTGGCTTCAATGGCATTAACGGGATGCACCGGCGGCACCAAGAGTCCCTGCACACGCGTAGGAAGGTCCAAGACCCACCCATCATCCATGAGCTCAAGGTGTCCTTGGAAGAGATCTACCACGGCTCCACCAAGAGAATGAAGATCACACGCAGAAGGCTCAATGCTGATGGCCGGACCATGCGGACTGAGGACAAGATCTTAAACATTGTCATCAAACGGGGCTGGAAGGAGGGAACCAAAATCACATTCCCCAAAGAAGGTGATGCCACCCCAGACAACATCCCTGCTGACATCGTCTTCATCCTCAAGGACAAGCCTCACTCACACTTCAAGAGGGATGGGACGAATGTGGTCTACACAGCAAACATCAGTCTTAAAGAGGTGGGTATGGGTGGGAAATCCCACAGGGTGGAAGGTGGTGCTGGGTGCTGGCATATGGCACCAAGGCAGGAGTCAGTCCTTGTCCTGCACCGGTGAGGAAGGACCAGGTAGGTTGCAAGAGACAGGAGCAAAGACCTCTGCAGAGAGGAGCACAGAGGCCAGCTCATGCTTGGTTTTGGAGGAGCTCAACCTCCATGTCAAGTGTAGGACATAAATGCCGTGGTCCCTGCAGAACAAACCTTGCTTCTTGAGCCAATAACAGTGATATTTACCCATTTTCTCCCTTCCCCATGTGTCTTTCTATTTTAGTGTATTCACATGTAGAAGAGAGCTCAGATCCTGTAGGAACAAGGGAAAACCCAAGTTGGGTGGCATGAGTCTGGTCCCTGCTTGTTCTTGTAGCTGAGACTGCTGTGTCTTAATTACTGCCCAGGATAGCGCTGGCACAGAAAGCAGGGCCAGGCAGAGAAAGGTGGTACCTCACCCTCCCTGAGCAATGCTTTAGCTGTTTTCCTTGGCTCTGGCTTTCCTAGATAAAGAACCAAATAAATGAAATTTTCAGGTGGTGAGCAACACCCAGCACATGCAGGCTGCCAGTCCTGGAGGTCACACAGCAGGGCTGGATGCATCAGAGCCAGCAAGCTGGGTGAAGGTGGGAGAGGAAGGGGAGGTTACCCCAGTACAAGATGTGCCGTTCGCTGCTGCTGCTCTATGAGTTCCTTTTAATAAATCCCAGCTGGCAGCTGCATTTAACATTGACATTTTTGGCAGCTGCCATTTGCTGTTCCTTTCAGACTGTAGACGCTGTCTGTCTTCTTAATGAGCTGATTTCTTTTATTTTTTCCTGAAGACAGATTATGTTCTTACATGCATTTCATAGAAATAAGCTCAATGGGCCAGACCTGAGGTAGGGAAACATGAGCTCATTAGCTTGCCAGCAAATCAGGAGAGCTTCGCGATGGCTCTGCATCCCAGCTGGGGCTGTGACTGGGAGTACTGGGGGCCAGGGGCAGCCACATGGGTCAGGCATGGCTGGGTGATCCTGAAGCAAACTCAGCTCAAGTTAACCTGCAGACTCAGGAGCTGAATTTCCTTCCTGGTGCAAAGTGAAGAGGTTTATTCCTGCGGTGGCTGGCTCCCCTGGCCACTCTAGAAATACTTGGGAGAGGATACCTTATTTATGGAGGCACACATGCCATATCTCAGATGTTTCATTCTGTGCATTCCCCTATCTGTAAAATTAACCCCAGGCTGGCTGTGCTGATGTCCAGACCACATTTGCCCAAGTTCACGTGCTTGGTGGGATTCTTGCCTGCAGTTGCCCTTTGAGCAATGAACAAAGAAACCTGCTCTGTCCCCATATACGATTGCCCCAGAGTGCTGGTCCTGGGCACCTGGCATCTCTGTGAGCAGGGCATGTGGGCTGGCGTTTGGTTTGCACTGTGAGGTCACAAAAGGGAAAATTGCTGGTTCGAGCAAATTCCTCATCTCTTTGAGCTGGACTGTCTGGTCTTTGTCCTCCCCCATGTGCTGGGCTTCCTCAGGGAGCTGCTGGCCTGGTTGCCGTCCCCAGCTTGCTGCTTGCCAGGGCAGGGTGGTACTCTGCTGCTTTTATGTTCCATGAGAAGAAGTACTTTAAGTGCTCTGGAGCGCGAGCAGATTCCAGGAGCTCCCCTACTCCATATGCCACCACCTCAGGAAGTGATGGAGTGTAACCTCTCCATCACCTGACCCTATGGCCATAGCCTTGGGCAGTCTCCTTGCACCTTTCCTCCTCCCAAGTCTGCCTTTTTTAGCTTGAGCTTTAGTGTTTCCTGCTGCTGTGAGAGCAGCATAGCACTGTGCTGTCAGGCAGAGCTGGCAAGTGGTGAGTGCTGTGACCCAGCTTGGGGTCATGCTGGAGACCCCTCACCAGCACCCTGCTGCCATGGGGAGCAAGGCTGGGGCACTCAGGAGAGCTCCTTGCTCCTCCTCCTCCTCCATCCCAGAGACCCCTCTGGAGAGCATCCTGGTGAGGCCTGTTGAAGCAGGTCCAGAGGAGACCACAAAAATGGTCAGAGGGATGGAACAGCTCTGCTATGAGGACAGGCTGAGAGAGTTGGGGTTGTTCAGCCTGGAGAAGAGAAGGATCCAGGGAGACCTTATTGTGGCCTTTCAGTGCTTAAAGAGGGCCTGTAAGAGAGATGGCGACAGACTTTATTAGGACCTGTAGCACTAGGACAAGGGGAAATGGTTTTAAACTAAAAGAGGGAAGATTTAGACTAGATATAAGGAAGACATTTTTTACAATGAAGGTGGTGAGACACTGGCACAGGTTGCCCAGAGATGCTGTAAAAGCCCCATCCCTGGAAACATTCAAGGTCAGGTTGGACTGGGCTCTGAGCAACCTCATCTAGTTGAAGATGGCCTTGCTCCTTGTTGGGTGAGATGGCCTTTAAAAGTCTCTCCCAACCCAAACCATTCCATGATTCTGTGATTTTAGGCAACACCCTCCTGTCCCAGCCCCTCGGTGCCTAGGGCAGCGCGGGGTGTTTGCCACCCGTCTGTTGCAGGAGCCAGAGGTGTACGAGGGCTTCCCCGGTGACCTGTGGGGCAAGTGTCCCTTCCTAAAATTACAGGTGCACGTGGCAGCGGGAGGCTGAGGTAGGGAGGAGTGACACGGCTCCCCAGGGAGACGGCTCCTGCCGAATGCCTGCCCTCGGCAGCCGCCCGCTTTGCATCCTTCACCTGGCATCACCTTCCTCGAAACACCCGGCTGAGACGCGACTGGTGGTGACGTCCCCCGCC